GAGAAAACCGACAGCAGTCGTAGGAGCCTCATTAAAACTAGTGTCAAAAAGGTAATGTACATTAGAATAACAGTTTCTGGCTTATCGGTTATCAGCCAACTATACCCATCTCGGTTTGAAACACCTGACATTTTGCTTCCGTGTTCTGTATTCATTTCGTCTAACGCTCTAGAATTGGGGTACGAGCCCATAACGTCAGTTCCGATCTGAAATATTAAATGCGTCGCGTTCATCGGTTGAATTGAGGAAGACGCTCGTTATGCTGTATCAGAAAGCTCAATCTGGTGCCCAACGGCCGTCGTATACCGACAACCAGAGGTGGGCTCGGTCGCAGTGGTTAAGGAAGCTAAAAGCTCGGCTATGTGCGGGGCGTATGATCTGGTTGCCGCAAAATATGTCCTGGTTTCATCGACGACGGCTCGGACCCCACTTTCGTGAATTCCGTAAGAGGTAACAGTAATAAAGATACAAAGACCCTCCAGTTCCCGAGCTAGCCATTACACTTACAAATAACACCTCCTATGAGGACGGGACTATTCAGTCAGCTTTATCGCAGCGAACGCGCTGAATTGCGTAGAATATGCATGCTCCAGAGTAGATCTCATCTACTCCTTCCCCTCGGAAGCAGTAATCCCCTGCCCGAGTCAGTTGGTCATCTGGCGTCACGGATGGCTGCAGTGCCTAGCGAAACAACATTAGCCTGTGTACGCGTGACAAACGCGTTTGCGAAGATGTTGCTGGATGCGATGCTGCATCTTTATCTAGGCAACTGTCCACACTGATTTGAGACGAACAACTGTGGTAGTAACACAAAATAATGCAGGAGTTTGCATACTATCAGGTTTGTGGGTTTCAAAACCCAGGACTGCAAACCTACAAAGCAGGCGAGAGTACTGTTATGCTTCAGGAACTTTCTTAGCCGTAAATTTGTGTACCCAGTCCCTATTAAGGTTAAGATGATTGCGCAAGCTGTGGAAAGTACGACTAAGATATCACCGGTGAACTAGCGAATAACTGTGGCCGGCGTATACGCCCAGAGCTATAACAGGAGAAGGAGCAAAGGGAGAGGGAGAGTAAAATGTACAATTGATACGCAATGCTTAAGAAACAGCGGCACGTATGAGGAAGGCTGAAAAAAGTAACAGTCTTCGTTGTATGGGGTCGCAGGTTTCATCGCGATCTCCACTCTTCTGCCGCTGCCGTTGGCAGGCCTCTGGCTGGATGATCGACATCAAGTTGGCTAGAAGGAGGAGGAATGCAGTGGACAATAGACGTGGTCAGACACTGGTGCAGGGGGACTGAGTGAATGGGGTAAAAAGGAGGTTAACTGTCAATCCGCCATCTCCATCTCGTGGGGACCCAGAAGACCCGGAACAATGGCCTGTCGTTTCAGCTTTTCTTGTTGCGCTTTCGCGATCTCGGCCTCGCGCTCTTCCAAATACAAGTCAGCCAGGTCCTCGCCCGAAATTTCTCGAATCTGTACAAGGAAGTCACGCAAGTGCTCCCGAAAAGCGGCCACATCCTGGTCGAAGGAGAAAAGACCCTTTATGAAGAGGACAATTTGGGCCTCCTGGAGGTGCGGAAAGGCTAGGCGCAGGAGCTCCAACAGGCGATCACGCACAAACTGGACATTAGTCTCGGGAGGGACGGCGGCCGCGGGGCTGTCGCCTAGTGGTATTGTGATAACGCCGTTTTCGACAATTTTGAACATGTAGGCCAGAAGGGAGGACTGTAGGGTCAGGTCTGAAAAGTAAGTCACAAACCGATGGTAAAACATGCATCGGTGAAAGTCATTAAAAGTTTGCTGCATACAGGATCCAAGTTTCCTATGAGGAGGCTGTGTGCCAATATCGAGGACACGGCAGTGATATACGCCAGTGGAGACAGTTGGGCCACACAAGTCAGCAATCATTGGTAGACAAAAAAATTTACATACTGAATGCAATTTAGTAGAAAAAGTGCAAGCCCAGTAATTACTTTCACTAATAACGTTAACAGTTACTCTATCCGAATACGGGTATATGATGAGTTGGCCTAGTAACAATAAAAAGAGGATAGGACATAAATATGGGAGGATCTGAAATAAACGCCTTGGCACACGGTACATGCATAATGGAGTACATGTGATCAGTCCCAGCCTCTTTGGGAAACGTCGAGGTGGTCCGTACTGGCTGGCCTGATGAATTGAACAAGGAGTTTCTACCTTCGATTCATCGTTCGGCATCCGCCGAGTGACTTTTTAGGATGTACATTTGTCGATAATTACGCTCTGTTTGAAGGTCTGATGGACTTAAGTCTGTCAAAACAGTTTTTGTGAATGGAGGGGACTAGTTAACAGTTTCTTGCTAACTTACGTCTCAGGGAACGTTAAGTAATTGTAGGTGCGTTAGAAGCAAGAGAAAAATATAATAACAATAATCATAATAACAGTAAAGACGACCGCGACGGCGAGTGGGAATACGAAGAGAATGGAACGGAATGACCAGGCATTACTGATGACCTTCCAGGTGAACGGATCGCGCTAACTGCTCCAAAGAGGCCATAGTTTAAAAAAATCACATGAAGTCGTATTGAAAAGCTATGCTTTCTTACTTACTTCCGGTTTGCGAGCGGTCCGTGACAACGGCAAACATGTGCTGCACTATGTCCATGTAAAAATTCTTAAAGAACATTTGCTGCTCCAAGGAATTGGTGTTAGCCATGTTTGACAGCATTGTATGCAGAATATTCAGGCCAGTTTCAGAAACCTGAAGAAAAACATGAGATTATAGATGAGTCCGTAATCGCAAAGTGTTACAGTCCTAAACTAACAACTGGTTATCCTGTCACAAAATGCATCACTCTTTGAATAAAGAGAAAAGATGGTTTTATCTTAGTCTGAGCTAAGTTGATGATTAGTAGGTCGCTTAGTACGACTTTCAGTGGTATCCATGCGCAGACGCCAACGCAAGGCGCAGGTTATGATAAAACCAGGTCGTTAAAGCCAACTACCCTCTTTACCTTTAGATACCTGACTTCAAATTGCGTTTCTACTGGAATAAGGGTCGCGTGGGCTTTTTTAGAGAAAATGGCGCATAGTAAGTAGACACATTATTCTTCTGGTTAGATAACCTGAAATGAACAAAACAATTGTCAAAAGCGAAGTTACCCCCCCCGCCCATCCCTCGTAGATCGCAGAGTTCAGTCATATCTACATCTTCACAACAATAAGCAGGTCGGCACATATCGAGGTCATGGGACAAAGCCAGTCCTCTACATATAATGCGAACGTGTGCAACTGCGAAAGCCTTACGATTTCTGTTTCTAGGTGGTTTCGCGATTACAACCGTCATATACTACGTTTGCAAGAGTGCTACCAGTAGCCTCCGGTCTATGCTTCTTAGTCTGTAAATTTGTACTTGTTGGTATGAGGTCGCTGTCCTCGTGAGAGCGTATGGCCGAACACCCGCTATCGACAGTAGCCAAGGTCCACTAACTTAGGAAATTAGATACGAAATCAAATCGAGTATCAGTATCAGTAAGAAACCAAATGACTACAGGACTTCTTGCAGATTTCTTTGCAGATCAATCAAGCCTCATAAAGATACCCACTTGTCTCATGGTGTGTTTGATTGCCCAAATGACACTGTCAAGAATTAGCTTGAATTTGTCGGTGGACAGGCTGAGAAGAGCGGAGAAGCAGTGTGCGTTGACTGCCTGCAGAAGGGTGAAGAAGTTTGTTCGGTGTTCTGGAAACTCCTCTAGGTCCTTATTTATCATCTCGAGGGTGCACTGAAAAACTGCATCCAGGATACGCGGTAGAGCCGGAAGAACATACTCGCCCAGGCGGTTTACGATAGTTGCCATGGTATTGAGCACTTCAGGCTCTCGAGCGGAGGGTGAGCTCTGTTGGTAATCCAACGCAACAGCATCCAGGAGAGGCGGAAGAAAATCGTTGGCCACCTTTGTGGAATCAGGCAAAAAATGAAAGCTTTACTTGAAGCAAAACGCTCTATTTTGCCGAAGAACATGGCTTATGCCTTAATAACAGGTGGGA